TCGTTTGGAAGAGAGAAACGATACCATTGCAGAATTCCATCTTTTAACTTCTCGACTGCAAAACTGGTCAACTCCAGGGACAATAATATTGAACAGGGATGGTGCCGAAGGATTGCCAAGACATCCGCGCCTGCTGCTGTGCCGCATCGGCCTGCTGTCTTGCTGCATCTGCCTGATTCGGAAAGCGACGGCCAGATGGCAGAAGAACTTGGGCATGCCAAGACATGTGAATGGTGCTGAAGGAAAGCAGATTTCCGCGCCTGCTGCCGTGCCGCATTGGCCTGCCGCCTTGCATCCTCTGCCTCATTCGGAGAGCCAGCCAGAAGATGCGCCGTGCGAGTGCAAAGGTCATGTTAGCCAACAAGTACTGCGGGTTATTGCAACACAAGGACGGCCCCACGTCAACCAGCTCAGTGGAACAAGAGTCACTGCTATGACACGACGGAGACAGGCCTGCTGCTCGGCTTCGTGAAATCTCTGGTCCACCTGACATTCATCTCGGTGCGCACGGTGCTTCACAACTTTCCACGAAACGAATCGATGTGAGTCTTCATAGTCGTAGCCCGACAAGCAAGGCGTCTGCAGCCTTCTCCCCGTTTTCAGTTATGCAACTTTAAACTTTATGAACTCTGTTATGATAATGTCCTTAAATAGCAAAGCTTAGCGAAAATGGAATCCTCTGACCAGGTTTGATGCTGGCAGTACTGGTGTAGGTGGCCTACGACAAAGCTCGCGGGAAGACAGTTTCTAAAACTGGCCCAGACCCAGATTCCGGTAGTCTAGTTTACGTCAACTCTCCAGCAACATGAAGGTCAGAGCCAAACTCTTACAGCAGTAGCTGCTATGCAGTCTGATCGTGGTGCCTCCAGGAGCACTTGGTCTTTGAAGGGGACAACTACCTCGCCATCTCTGCACTCTTGAGACAATCATACACTGTCTGCTGGATATGCTGAATAGGGTTTATACTATACTGACCCGACTGCTCCCGACCGTGCTACGAAGCAGCCGGATCGATTCACTAGTGGAGCTAGTAATGTAACCAGCTGCTTCTGTTATTTCCGAGGGTTCAGTTCAGCAGAACAGGATCTGACAAATCCAGACCGAGAGAGGACGAGAGGACTCTTGTCTCGAGGCGACTAGAATGGTTTGATGCCCACATGTTGCATACAGAGCCATTCAGGTGCCCCGGAAGGAGCACGGTTACTTGCGAATTTGAACAGACCCCAAAGAACAGAAGCTGTAAGAGGCTGCCCCTGCTGTCCAAGGATCCAGCGCCCAGGTGCTGGCCTTCATTCTTTCGCAAGCCTCACGTGCTTTGCCGCTCGGCCTGAGGTTCAGCCCGTCAAAGAAGTCGTCCAGCTCGCGCGTTGCATCTGACATCGCTTCTGCTAGACCTCTTGATTTCCCTTCCATAACTGCCTTCAGCCTCGCCTCTAGAGCATCTATCTTGTCTTGCAGCTGCTTCGTGCAAGCGTCAATCGCGATCTTCTCCCACAGGTACACATTGCTCAAGGGGCCAATCTTGTTCATCTCCTCAACACCCCACTTTAACAACTGCCGAAATGTTTGGGCTGTTATTGCACGGCCACGACCGTCGATTCGAGCTCGGCTGACGTTCCAGATCTTGTCTCTCAGAAGATCAATGTCATCCAAAAAAGTCTGGCCGGCTTTGTACTTCGGGGAGCTTTCTTCCTTGTTAAAGTCAACAAGATTCCGGACTTTCTCAAGCAGGTCATCGGGTGTCTCCGCAGTATCCATATGCCGCTGCAGCTTCTCGAACATGGGCAGCTCGTAGATGGTCAAATAGTCGAAGTGGAGCCCAAGTCCCTCTTTGTGGACAAGCTCTATATAGTTCTCACTGACTGTTTTGATGACTTCGGGCTGTGCGGCCAGCGCCTGCGTCGTTATCTCGACAGCTTTGGCCTCCTGCTCGTCATGACTGAGATGGACGGGCATGACATGGGCAATTAGGAGCGCCGGGAAGTTGTCGTTCGGTCCTGCATCTCCCCGCGTGGCAACAGGCCGCTTAAGCAACGTGCTCCGCACCTGCGAGACAAAAGAGGCAATGTACTCGAGGTCCGAGGCCTGAATGGTTGGGGTGCGCCTGACCTGGACGAACACAGAGGTAACTTCGGAAAGAAGAGCGAGAAGCTTCAAGACTGCCTGCACAGGGCACTGCACAGGTGCATGTTTCGAGGCCCTCTGTCTGGCGAAAGTGTTAAAAGTGTGAAGCTCTGAAGTGCTGTTATGGCTTTTGGAGACCCGGGCTCTGTGGGATGCTGCTCGTCAACCGGCCTCCGCGACCTTCTGGTCTTGCTCGCTATTGTCGAAGCCCTCAATGTCCAGTATTATGTAGTGCTTTCCGTCCGCATCCACCACTGGGGATCCCCAAAGACCACGCGTGGGCTCGTGCTGCGGGCCAATGGTCGAGCTGGGAAAATTCGTGGGAACTCCCATAGAACAGGACAAGAATCTGCAGGTTGTCGATTTGCCACCAGAAGTTGTGCCGAATAAAGCGACAACCTGCAAAGGCAACTTGGAAGAAGGGCCATCATAGAGGCCGTTGTCAATGAACTCAATCTGCCCGGTTGCGCGAGTGACGCGAAACATCTCGATGGCCTGCGGCTCAGCATGTGCTTTCGTGAAACGATTTCAGCTAGTTGTTCGGAGAATCCGCATTATCGTGGACTTTGGACCCTGCAACATAAGGTGGCAACTGATCATGAGTGGACTACCATTAGTTGGTCCTGATGAGTGTGATGAGTAACAACTACACATGCATGCCGCATAGCACATGCATTGGTGTGACGTGTACAATTATGAATGCGCAACTGACATGAGACAATGTTGGTACACATGCGTCTCGCATTGCCTGCGCGATGCCAATGTAGTCGCACGACCACACTTGCGAAATCGTTCGCACAAGATCGATCGTGCCTCATCGCGAGAGTGTCCGAGTATGTAGGATCGTTTGCGAGACGTGGAACGGTCGCGAATGTTGGCCCATGCATGATGATCGCGGTGTCATCGCCGTTCATGAAGATTTGGTTACACAGAATGATGTTCCATGATTCCCTGGCTCTCATGTGTGAGTGTGTGTGTCTACATGCATCGGTCGCGCAAGTAGTTCTTGAGTACCGCAAATCTCGCTGCTGTTTGCGAATGTTGAATGCATCTGTGTGCAGTACGACAAAACATATGTGTCTGTGTATACGTCATGTGTCTGCCTGCATCTGTTCGTGCACGGGTTCTGATTGAATACCATGCACACACATGCGCTCTTCTCTGCACAATGCCTGCTGTAGTGAGGTCCCGACTGCCTCAGTCTAGGGCATGATTGGACAAATTGAAGAAAGCCCAGCAATCATCGTTGTGGCCTGGTTCCACGCAGGCAGGGCACGTCCAGGCACCAGCCAAAGCAGCCGAAGCAGCCAAAGACTCGTGGCCATGGCTCCACGGCTTCAATCTGTTCAGCCCGATGAACAAACTCTTATCATCTGAAGCACAAACCAGTACATATAATACAGCTATCGAAGCCGTGACTCAGGCCCATCACGCGAGAAGAATCTCCAAACTGTACGTTTAGGAAGGTCAGGACCCAGGCGCCCACAGCAATGCGAACAGCTGGTGGCGGCCTAGGAGTCCCTTTCCACATTCTTTGGAGATGTAACCTGAGCAGTGGGACATGGCATCATTCCACCACACATATCCTCTCACCGAAAGCGCATGACATTGAAAGAATCCAACAACAATGATCTTTGTCGCTTCTGTGTCAATGTTTTCCAGCGGCAAACGCCCCCTGTTCAGGATCTTATAAGCCATGCTCCCCAGCGCATCTTGGTAAGGTTGGCCACATTTTTTCCAAGTGTTTTCAATCATGTTGCTAATTTATATGTATACATATATATACATATACATGTGTATATATATATATATAGATATATGGTACCCCCCCTGAAACCCCACGCCTCAGGTATCT